ATATCTTAGAGTTCTCATTCTAGCATGTCTTTTCTTTCCTACTTAAACAGCTACTTATGGGAAGTTCCACCCTTTTTAAAGGTGGCACAAATGAATGATATTTTGCCACTGAAGATGCCCAGAGAGGCTGTGGAGTCTTCAACCTTGGAGACAGTCAAAAGCCATATGGACATTGTCCTGGGCAACCTGCCCCAGCTGGCCCTGCTTCGAGCAGGGAGTTGGAGCAGATGAGCTCAAGAGGCCCCTTCCAGCCTCAACCGTTCCGTGATTCTGTGATCTTCATTAACAAGAATGATGTATGATGTTGCAAGAACACATCTACGAGTCACATAGCAGTGAATAGTGTATGTGCTGTACAACAGAAAGGAAGTGAAGTATTTTTAACAGGAAAAAAGCCACAGATAGCAGTCACAGTTTATACAAGATTCAGTTACAAAATTCTGACTTCCTAGCAAGTGTCTTTCAGCTGAACGCCTTCGTGCATTTTAAGCTCTGTAAGACTAAAGAAAATTTTCCCTTGCCTGAGTTCTCTAAGTTTTTACTTGATGATGAACAGACAACACAAAGAGGGATAGCTTACAGATCTAAACATGGCATTTCATTGATGGTTCATCACGGCATATATGAGTTTACATGTAACATGACAAAACTGCCATTGCCCGCCCCTACTCTGCACCATGTTTTTTACGAGAAAGAATGTCCACAACGCAGAGTGCAAACCCATATTTAGAAAGTCTGAACCACCACTGGGGCCTTTTCTCTTCCTCAGTCTGCGTTCTCCTGGCTGGCGCATCTGTATCACGTCACATCACAAATCACAGCATTTGTTTTTCAGTGCCTGCTATTTTTTTACGCTGTCTCAGGAAAGCTCACCCACAGTTAGCTCCCCCAGTCCCAGTTTATACTTTGTACTGGCGGATAGCCTAAAACAGGGAGCAGTGGTTGGACTTTGAATGCGTGGTCATTTTTTATAAATTTGCTGTGCGCTGTATACACTGCATCCCTCCGTTTCTCCCTTGTCCAGCTCCTAGTCAGCATGAACTCTCCATCAGCCCCAGAGTGGCTCCCCTGAGGTTGAATGTGACTGCAACCACTTGTCTTCACATCGGTGGTTGAGCAAGAGTGCAGTCAGTCCCAGTTGTTAAACTGTGTCTAAAAGAAAAGGATTTGCAGATAAAAATCCGAGGTGTAACAAAAGTTACTTCTGGGTTAAGCAATGCTGGGTAGTTGTAAACAAAAGATTAACTTGCCCTACCTCTTGGAGGCTATAATATTTTTCCCAGCTCCCCCTCCATAGTGCCCCATAGTGTGTAACTACATTTGGCAAAATCTTATCTTCCACAGTCTGAATGTGGAAGAGTTTTGCCTGTCTACTCTGCTCATTATTATGTGATTAGGCAGTAGCCACCACTCGCTGTAACTATGATACGAAATGAGGAATGTGTGAAGATTTACTGCTTACTGTCTAAATGCAGCTTGGAAATATATCTCTACAGGAACAAACTTGCTTTTCGACTTCAAAAGTATAGCATACACCTTGCTTAGGAATACTGAGGAAAATCAGAATAGCAGGAAATCCCCATGTTGACAGGTTCAAGTTGATGCCACCATTCTGACCTGATCAGGAGAGGAAACGACTTACATGTAAGACCTACAAGCTGGGGTCAGCAGCCTCTGTGAAGCAGCAGTTGGGGTGCTCGAGGCTTAGGCTCCACTCCCATGGTGGCATTCAGTCATGTCTATAGCCCCTCCTCAGCCTCCCAGCTTCTTAGAAATAACAGAGCCAGAGATCAAATTAAGAAGGAAAAGGTTACAGCAGAAGTCCAGAAAGGCTGGTTTCCTCCTTCCTGCTGCTGACAAAACTGTTTTATTCCCTCACGGGCTTCCACAGCTGGTCCAATACCATTCTTCATAGAATCACAGAATCACAGAATAATAGAATAAAGGATGGAAAAGACCTCTAAGACCACCAAGTGCAACTGTCAACCCATCATGACCATGCCGGTTAAATCATGTCCTGAAGTGCCACATCTATGCATTGTTTGAACACCTCCAGGAATGGTGACTCCATCACTTCCCTAGGCAACCTGTTCCAGTGCTTCACAACTCTCTCAGTAAAGAAATTTTTCTGAATATCCAATCTAAACCTTCCCTGACACAACTTGAGGCC